GCATATCGAGCTCGGGAGTACTCATAATGAAAACAACATGCTGAGAAAGTTTCTCTAGGCTGTTTAAAACAGTCGCCCATGTTTCACCATGCAGTAACTGACACTCATCGATAATGAAAATCTTGAACCGTGAGGAAACCGGAAGGGCAACTGCATTCTTAACGAGGGACCTCAACCTATCTGAGCGATTGACTCTCAACGAGTCAATCTCCTTGACATCTCTGATCCTTCCAGAAAAAAACATGATACATTCTCGACATCGACCACATGGTTTATGCTCCTCGAGTGAGAGGCAATTCAAAGCAGCAGCAAAAATCCTTGAGGCACAAGTCTTCCCCGTGCCACGAGGACCATAGAAGAGGTAAAAGGAGGCTACCCTTCCTTTAGTTATGGCATTCAAAAGAGACCTCACAACAACACTTTGTCCTACCAATTCATCAAAAGACTTTGGCTTGAACTTTTGGCCTAAGCTCCTAGGAGTATCAGAATACGGGTTGATTTCGCCATTAATGCATTTCCAAAAGCTCTGCCCACAAAGAGTTATCTCGCCCGTATCTGATGACAGCAAAGGGAAGTCTTCAAAATCAGATGAAGGATTCGACTCTCTAAGCCTTGGAGTTTTCGACCAACAGTAGCTTATTCCACATCCACGGTGGCTCAGATCTGCAGTGTCAACATTTTCATCTACGTGCAATGAGGTACTATAATTAGAAATCGCATCAATAGAAGGGCTTGCAGCATCACCGTTAGCCCCGTATGATTTCACTTGATTCCTAGATTGACATTTTGGTTTCAGATCACAGGTGTTAATTCTCTCCGCTGGTAAGGATCCTATAACAGGCTCATTGCAAGAAGCTAAATCCTCCATAGAATTACAACTAGGTGCCATACATATTAAGCTCATACCTTTGACATTAAAATTGCTATCATATCTTTCATCCAATGGACTGTATTTTTGGACCTCTTCCTTGTTTACTCCATAATTGCTAGAATCACCATTACAATCATCCAACTCACCGGCTTTTCCAGCCCTGTTCCCTACCTTTGCCGCATTCTCACATATGATCAACTTAGAGTTAGAGTCTTCAGGAACAGAATGCAGCCCGAAATCATAACCTTGCTCCTCTCTACGTTCGTTAAATCCGTAATACTCCGGACCTCTAAGTTCCTTTAGCTCGGAACCTGTTTCTGTGCAGCCGTTCACAAATTGCAAAGAAATCCCATTGCTTGAATTCGTTTCCCACTTGACATTGTCAAACAATGAAGAGAATTTACTCATAGAATTAGTGGATGGATCCCTTAATGACCTCACTCTCCTAAGTGCTATTAGGGTTCTTGAGATTGGTATATCGACAGAATGTCTTCGACCGTCCATTCTTTTCAAAACTAAGTATCAAAATATTGTCTTCGCTTCAACATAAACTCATATTACAGGACTTAGAAACATGATATGGATTTTTGACCTGAAAGAACAATTAAAACAATAAACTAATCAAATAGAAACATTGAATTAACCGCTAAACAGTCTACAAGGCGACTAGAACATGAACATATCATTGTATCAAAACCAGTATCAAATCTCCACATGTTCCATTATCTGAAAACCCCAGGCTGAAAATAGACCAGAATGCTTCAGAAAACCAATTTTTTCCTTGATAATCCAGGCATAAAAAACCCTAAAAAAAGCAAACAAGCACACATTGAAAGCAAAGAGAAATGTCATTTCATGAGAAACATAGGCTCAAATCATCTAATGCATGGTAAATGAACACCCAAAAATGCAATACATTGTACATTTGCATTTACTAAAAGCGAACAGAAGAAAATAAAAGCTTTCACTTTGGAGAAGAAACTTGGCTAGTTTTAGTTACCTTCTAAACAAAAACTTCAAAAAGAAAAAAGTGGGAACCATAGCATAGAAAACATAGGGTAAAAGGCAGGAGCAGTGGAACTGTGTATTAATTATTAAATAAAAGAAAACTCCAAACAAAGTTCAAGAATCTAGAATTCAAATTTCATTGTAACTGAAAAAAAGGGTCTAAAATAAATAAAAAATCCCATAGCCCAAGAAATAAAGAAATGCAAGTAAAAACAAAGAAAGCAATTGAAAAACTAAAAGAAAAATAAATAAAAAACAATATCAGACCTGCTGGATGGAATATATGGAAATGGGAATGGACAGAGGTCTTCAATCTCAACTCTCAAGTCATTGAAATCCACAAAAAAATGAAAAAAGATGGCGTGAAAGTAGGGATACACGACATTGTTTTCTACAAAAAGGAGAACCCAAAGCTATAAACAATCAATATTATGTATCGTTTACAAAGCTTTAAGTAGAAGATAAACTAGATATGGAAGAACAAGACAGAAGATGGTGAAGAAAGAGAGAGAGTAAATATGATTAATGAGTACAGGGTGTTAATAAATAGAAAAATATATATATAAGACATGTTTGCTTGTAAGAAAAATGTTGTGCTTTGATATTTTCTTTTGCCAAAGATTGTTTTGTAATTTGGTCTACATCTGCAGAGTGCTGTAGAGTGTTGCAGAAAGGGTCTCGGCCAGTGATGCTAGAAACTTTTGTGGGGTTTCAGTTAGTTTTGTGGGGCTCTGAATAAGGAAAAAATTTCAAGTAAACCATGAAAAATAGTATTTTTTTAATAAAAAAGCAATAATTTGTCTGGAAAAAAGAGCCATTTAGACGTCTTGAGCTCCCTCTAACACTTGCAATATACACACTGTACCTTTTCCATTTTGATCAAAGCACCACAGCATCAGCTGAGGAGTGGAGGATGGAAGGGATAATAACTTAACTGTGGTCCTTTATACGAGGGTGAGTAAAACTTGATTAGAATCGAAAAAATCGAATTTTTCAATTCAATTTATATTTAACTCTATTAATTAAAGTAGACTTGATCAAGTACTCACCTATGTCTCTATCACCAGCATCATCTTCACTGCAACGGCGTCAGAATGGGAGGGGGCTCATTTATAATGTTTCAGAAATTGTTAGCTAATGGGGGACTGTCTCGTCGTACTCTTAGCAAAAAGTAAAATTGGCTTTTTAGATTTTACAGAGACACCACAACAAACAACCCATGAACAAAACCAGACCATAAAGGAAATGAACCCTGAGTCACGGTTTGAAGATGTTCCAGCTTTCTTCCTGGGCTTTAATACCCGTGTCTTCCAGGTGTTTGTTCAACGTTCTCAGTGGTGAAAACTGGAAAAGAAAACCCATTCAAATCCTACAATAAATAAAAATTCCATTTTTTCAGTATAATTAGATTCGGGTTTCGTCAGTTTCATTCAAAACCGAAATGATAATGTAATGGATCAGAATCGAACAGATAGATAGTTGGGAGGCAGATGAAGTTGATTAGTGTAATAAAAAGAAGACATAAATGAGAACAGCACCGAAGAGTATTTTTAGGATGGCGTGTGTGATGTGATGTGTGAGGGGGAGAGGGCCAAGTAGCCAGCGGCGCCACCACCTTTGAGGTTGGTTTCTGACACTCACACCCACCATGGTTTCCATTCCAATGGATTATTATATCTTGCGGTGACAGATGGTTTTCAACCGTCACCAATTCACGTGATTTACCTAATCACATTTCCTCTATTTTCATTTCTTTGACCCTGGGATTTCCAACTTCTTCAACTTCAGGCCCAAAGGCCCAAGAAACTAACCACTTATAATTTGACTCCAAAAAATCTGAGTTTGAGAAAAAACTAAGATGACATAATATTAAAATTCATCCTTTTAAATTTTAAAAAGAAAATACTTTTATTTTTATTTTATAAGCACTTTAATTGCAATATTTTATTTTAAGCAAAATATCTTTTGATTACTTGTTCATGAGATAAACATTATTGGTTTAAAGTTATAAAGGGACACGTGTCATGTTATCATTTATGTATACGTTATATGTATCACGTCATCACTTATATATGTGATATATATCAACACATATGCCAAGTAATTCTTTTGGTACATGTGACAAGTGTCTCATCATCACTTTATACATGTGATATATATCATATAACCTTTTTAAATACATAACATGTGTTACATCATCACTTTGAATATAATACTTATCACGTCAGAGATAAACATTGATCGTTAACGTTGAACTAATAATTTCTATCTAACTAAAGGTTACTTTAACTTAAAATGAAATGTTGATGATCTAAAAAGAAGGAATTTAGATCAATATGACTATTTAATTAAATGTTAAAGATATTTGTAATATTATATTATATTTAACAAAATTTCAGAACTTGAACTGTCAATTTAAAATATGAAAATACTATTTTTTTTTTAAATATTTTAAACTATTAAGAAAAAACTTGATTTCACTGGGGGAACATCTCAGTGTCCATATGGTTTATGGGCGGTAATGAGATGATTTATTTTTACAAATTATATCTAAATTATCTCCATGTCATATACATAGGTGTTTAAAATTTGATTAATACATTCGTAAATTCAGTCCACATCTGATTTCAGTTAACAGATACCGGAAGGACTTAAATAATTTTAATAAATTAATAATTCAATTAAAATATTTTAACATAATTTAAAGATATTTAATACAAGTAACTCTATTGAATACCACAAGATCCTCTTTATGAAGACTGTAGACAATTCCTTGAGAAAAAGAGGGATTCAGTGTACATTATTAGAATGCATAGAAGCATGAAACCAATAGGAAAGAAGGATGGAAAGTGAATGAAAGGATAGATCCCAATCCAACTTTAGAATTTCAAGTAAGGTTATCCGAACCCCAAACCCTAAATTTAAAATCCAACTTATCCAATTCTTTAGATATTTATATCTAAAATCAAAATATACATCGAGTACGGATATCAAATACGAATACTTTTTACATCGTCTTGCTTTAGACAGCAACTCATACACTACCCATCATCATAAGAGGATTACACCATGAACTCCCAGAAAGCAGGTATATGAATCAAAGAATATTTAACTATCTTCTGTTGTAAAAACTCATTTAACATAACCTGAAGGTTTTGAGGAACTGATGAGTACCCATTGTTTCCCTCGGCTCATCCTCTCTCTTTCTCTTGGGTATAGCTAAAGAAGATATGGCTTTTGCCGATAAAACCTTCTTCACAAGCACCTTCCACTTTGCGTCATCACCCATCTTCTGTTGTTGTGCTTTCACTTTGAATTGCCTGTCAAACATTGTTTTACAAAGTAGACACTGTTTTAATGTTTTAATGATGATAATGTCAGCAGATGAATATTCAAGATGGGGACCTTTTAGGACCCCCACCACTAGGAAACAACCGTTTTCAATGTTGATTATATATTTGCCAGTTGTTGAGAATTGACAAAGTGTGCTATCCCTGTTCAGATGGTGCCAAAGAAGTGGCTTGATGGCACATTCTTAGCAATAAAATCTCTAGTCTAATCCGCTAAACAAAGATTTGCACCTTAATCACCGTCCATTCTATTGAACGGGAACAGACAAAGAATTTTATGTTAAAAAATACAAATTTATAAAATTTTAAACATTAAATTTATAAATTTTTAAAGCCAGAACATATAATCATAAAATATACAAAAAAATAGATATATAAAAATTTAAAATTTTTAAGAACGGGCTACTGCACCGCCAACCCCTTATCCATCCTCTTGAATATTTTCAACTTCAAAACTACGCACTTGTCAGTGCAGTCAACAATCATGTCATGTCCGAGAGATAAAAGATTCATGAGTTAATTTGATGTTATATTTACGAGGACAATTAAAAATCTCCACAACTCTTTATCTTATGATAGATATTTTGTTTGTGCCCGAAGTCAGCAAAATATCAAGCCACGGCCTATAATTGAGTTAAAAATATCAGAAGAAAACGTTAAAAACAGACTAAACAGTGATAGGGACAAGCCAACTCGACAGGTAGAATCCTGAAAGTTGCCCAGTTCTTATCCTATGTAAATTAATTGAACCTACTAACCACTAAAGACCTTTAAAATTCGAAACAGAGTTGTATATAGAACAGACAAAATGCCGTGGGACTAGCCAGGCTGGTGACCTCTAGAAATTCACAAGCAGTTCAATTCTCCCAGCCAAGGTATTATCTTAATACGAACAATAAAGTAAATTCCCAAATAAAAAATAATGATGGTCGATGGGTTTAGATTATTTACCTGCAAAGTGGAACCCTACAAGAATCAGGCTGATCACAAATGGAGGAATGGAGTCGAAGAAGCTGCCACATTCGCTTGCAGCGAGAGCACCCTCCACCATTAACCCTTCTCTTGCACAAAGCGAAATGCTTTACCAACAGCTGAACACCATGGCACGTCGCGTAGTTGTTGCAGGGACCCGGTTTCTTAGCCGGTTTCAAGTCGTAGGGCCCCACAGTTGTGCACCCTTCCGTACATATGTGCTGTAAACACTCCATTGCTTCGCTTAGCTGTAAATACAAGCTCTGTTCTTTCCTGTGCCGCCTCATTCTCTTTTTTCTCTGCGACGTTATATCGAACACTCAGAACCCACTTTTACAAATAAAAAAATTACCATCATTATCGGTGTTAAGAACAATCTGGGTGATTTTCTTTTTTGGTTATTTGGTTGTGATTTACCGTTTCAGCTTCATCGATGAATTGAAGAATCTCGAGCTCCAGCCAGGGATCATTATCTTGCATGAAACTCCAAGCTTCGGTTTGTTCGATAGATTTGAAATGGGCGGCAATGTGTTTCATGCACTTGAGGTGAAGATCGGGAGCGTCGCAGAGCCTGGCGAGTTGGAGGACGTCCACCGCGTCCTCCGCCGTCAGACGTTGAGCAACTCCCTTGCTGCACCTATGTTTCAGCATTGGGACCAAGTAAACGTGCGACAATGCTAACAGATGAATCCCATATTTCGCCAGTTGCTCTTCCTCGCACCTATTGCAAATTCATTGAATCATTTCGCTCAATTCAACTTAGGCACTAAAAAAACGAAAAATATAGAATAATATATGAAACTTGAACGAAACCACATCCAGAAATTTTGGAGAAATATTAGAAAATTCCATAGCCGACCAACTTAGAATGCTACAAGCAGCTATTGAATAGCCACGTGGCACTTTCTTACAAGTCATATTTTTATTTTTTATTTTTTATTATTTTTATAAGAATATTATAATTTTACTAATTAGATTCAGTTGTGGGTTTTCCATTGCGTGGAAAACAAGGAAGAAATAAACGGCGAAGATCATTCAGAAAAACTAAAGAGTGCGTGGAACATCAAAATGCTTAAGCCACCAACCTGGAAGAGTAGAGGTAATCAACAAAAGCAGAAACAGCGTCGCATGGAACGCCGAGAATCGGGATGACTCGTTCGGAGCTCCGGTGCTTACGTGGCCTCTCGATTATATTTTCCAGCACCGGCGATGCCTTTGCCTTTTTTAATCAGAAAAGAAAATCAGATCCGAACGAAAAAAAAAACGAAAAACTTTGGAATCTAAAATACTCTTAAAACAAGCTGAGAGAGGATTACCAAGACGCCGGAGTGAGCAGGGATGCGGAGGCCACCGGAAGTAAGGATGTGGATATCGGGTACGGGTAAGTGAGTGGCGGAGGAAGTTGAGTTGTAATTGTTGCGTTCCATTGAGAGTGGAATTGAAAGAAAAGAAATAGGATAGACTGTTGTGGCGGAATACATTGGGTGGGACTCGAAATTTATAGGCCGTTACTTGAAAAGAGAAACGATGAACAAGCAGACGTGTCATCATGCATGACAATAATATTATGATTAAACTGCACATTTAATATCTAAATTATTTTTTAATTTTATTTTGGTACATAAATTTTATTTTTTTATCAAAATCATAACTACAGTTTAGTTTATATTTCAAATTGGTGCTCGTCATTAAAAAAAATTAACAAAACTATTGACATAATATATTTTTATTTTGCTTAATAATAACATAATATTACCATTGATGATACGTCAATATCATTTTTTAACTTTTAATAGTAGGATATCAAATTAAAAATTAAACTAAATATTAGTTATAATATTAAAAAAATTACTAAAATAAAACAAAAATTAATAGTTTAATTATTAAACATTTAGTTTACCTTAATATTATTATGGATAGCTGTGCCCACGCGCTTCATGATTTTATTTTTTCCTTTTTGAGTGAGGAAAATGTGGGAATAGAGATTTGGATTAAATTAATACTTAAAACATTTGGGATTAGTCAAAAAAATCAAAGGGGTATTATATTTTATTATTAGGAGATTTGATTCCATGGAATGGTAGTTGGTCACTTAACGTATAAACTTATAATGATTATTGTGGCTCAATTTAGGAGTGATCATTTCTAGTCAATATGAAGGATCGACAACTAGTGACAATTCATTTTACTAAAGGTGAATAGAAAATAGTACATGATAAAAGTTGTGCATACCTTGATTTTCTTGGGGATGAAACTAGAGGATTCACAAATACCATTCTAGAAGAAGTTTTATTTTGTAAATCAAATGATAAATGAATCATTTAGTGTATTCCAATAGTAAAATTTTTCTATTTTAAAAATTTATTTATTTCGCATAAATCAAATTATTTTAGAGGTTGAATAAATAATTGTTATTTTCAAAGATCTTAGGTTCGAGCACCAGAGATTATAAGAGCGTAGAACTTTAATTGACGAATTGTTGAAAATCTTTAAAATAGATAGGATCTTGTAATCACCCTATATTAGTCAAAAAATTATCTATTTCAAACAATAATATAAGATAATATATGTTTGAAACTCATACTCCAAATATACATAATATTCAAACTCGAGACTTCTAAAAATAAAAACAAATTTCTTAATTCGTGTTACTTTCCATCATTTTAAATATCCAATTTTATCATACGGTTTTTTTAAGCTAACTTGACAAAGGATAAAACGACGACGATGCGACAGGTAACTTCAAAAGATCCGATTTTGTAATAATAGCGAAAAAGTCTAAAGAACAACTACTTAATTCAAGATTAAAAAATAACAGAAATATATGCAATTAAAAATATTTTAAAAAAAATTAATATTTTTATATATCATTTTTTTAAGTTTAAATTAGGTTGTCGTTGGACATAACTTCCCAATGATAGATAGCGGTTTTTGGTGAGCCGAGGAGTCTAAGTCAGGCTGGCGTGGCAATCCAAGCACTGGTTCGATCTTTTCCACTGGGTATAGAAATGCCAAATAGGGTGATTATCCACGAGTTCATCACAATCTGACGTGTGAGAATAAGGTGTAATTGTTTCATTAACCAATACAAAATTAACACGTGTTAGGCAAAGCTTAACCTGGGATTATTTTATTGGTGGAGACGGATGCTTATTATGCTGACCAATATAATTGAAAATTGAACCAAACCGGCACCGTTTTTCAAAAATACAGCTGGCTGCCGTGGTGCGTCGCGGTTGCAGATAATAGTCCTTACAGATATGGTTAAACTTATTTTATTACCAAATTTGAAAATTCAAAATCAACTCATTTATATCGCGAGTCAATTCAACATCATTTTATCATATTTTTTAGATTTATTATGGACATAATGATAAAATTAATCTCCAGTATTCATATAAATATCATTTTAGTTTTTATTTCTTTAGCATTTTAACCTTGGACAATTTAATTTTTTGTTAGAATAATTGTTGTTGAATAGAAATAGTTAGTTGTCTAACTGCAGTGACAGGTCAGAAATATTTTTTAGGATGGGTACATATATATTGATAATAGAAAATTTTCATACGGGTAGGTACAAATAAAATTTTAAGGTAGGTACCAATAATAAAATAAACAACTAATACAAATAAATTTGAATTTTAGGGTGGACTCCTACCCTGGACAAGCCTTGCATCTGTCGATGTCTAACAGTCAACACATGGTACTGATGGGGGTGTTCAAAATCGAGTATTCACATATTTGGATACTTAAATCCGGGTACCAAAAATTTTTGTTACCAAAATGCCAGCTCGTGTCTCAACCCGTTAAGCTCAGTTACATGTACTTAAAAACTCGTGTATCCAAATTTCCGGATCATATGTATCATGTTTATTTTTTTATTTTTTATTTTTAAAATTCTATTATTTAAAAAAATACATAAAAAATCTAAAATCTAAAATTTGAAGGTCTATAATTCATAACTCGTCTATAAATTTTAAATTACATAAATAAAAATAAAACTTATTAAACGTAAAATTAAATAAATACAATTAAATTTTAAATATTTGAAGTTAAAAGAAATAATTTGAAAAATTGTTTATATTGTTAGGGTGAATAATTTAAGAAATTAATAATTTAGAATGTTATGGTGAAATATTTTAAGAAATTAGGAATTTATAAATTTATGACGAAATAATTTAAGAAATTAGAGATTTAGAATATTAGAGTGAAATAACTTCAGAATTAGGAATAAAAGATCTAATATAAAATAAAAATATATAAGAAACTAGGTATTGGGTGAGTGGGTACCCAATTAAAAGATATTTTGTGACCCATGCTGACTTGGAAACCCGTGAAAAAGAGCGGGTCAGGTACTCGACCCACAAAACCGGGTATTCTTATTATTATTGGTTACAAATAAAACCACTACACTAGTAGTGGATTAATCGGGTATCTACAGCAGTAGCATCAGTGTTGAGAAGGGTGTGAAATCCCTCGGAGGCTGTTGGTAGATAGAGAGTCCCAAAGTGTCATTAATATCAGTATGAGCAAGATGATCAGCAATGGCATTGGTTTCACGATTAGTATAAGAGATCTTAACGCTCTATTGCCCGATACGTAGTCTTGGAGTATAGTTCAATATCTTAATCACGTCCTTATTATCGGCCTCGAATTCAATATTCCTGAAGCCATGATTCCATGCAACCGTGAGTCCATCTAGAACTGCCCAAAGCTCGGCGTTATGGGCATTGCAATGTCTGATATTCCGGTGATATCTCAAGATCCAAGCACTAGATGTGTACAAAAAAATCCGAATATCCGATTTTGCGCAAAAACTATCCGAAATTAGATTTGGTAAAAATCGGATATTTAAAAACCGGATAGTATAACCGGTTTGGGGAAAAAATTAGACGGTCGGTTTTTTTACCGGATTAAAAATCGGTTTGGAAAAAAGGGATAAAATTAAGTTATGATGTTTATTAGCATGATTTTTATAATTTATTGAAATGAAAAATCAATCAATAAAATTAAAATTTAATTTTTTTTAGTTTTTATAATATATTGCTAGATGTAATTTATAAAACAAACCAAAATTAAGCAGAAAAACAAGGACAATCCTGTCATTTTACATTACTGAAATTAAATTCATCTGACATGTCAGAAATATTCCAGCGAACCAAACTCCACCTAGGTATTGGGTGAGTAGATACCCAATTAAAAGATATTTTGTGACCCATGCTGACTTGGAAACCCGTGAAAAAGAGCGGGTCAGGTACTCGACCCACAAAATTGGTATTCTTATTATTATTGGTTACAAATAAAACCACTAAACTAGTAGTGGATTAATCGGGTATCTACAGCAGTAGCATCAGTGTTGAGAAGGGTGTGAACTCCCCTCGGAGGCTGTTGGTAGATAAAGAGTCCCAAAGTGTCATTAATATCGGTATGAGCAAGATGATCAGCAATGGCATTGGTTTCACGATTAGTACGAGAGATCTTAATGCTCCATTGCCCGATACGTAGCCTTGGAGTAGAGTTCAATATCTTAATCACGTCCTTATTATCGGCCTCGACTTCAATATTCATGAAGCCATGATTCCATGCAACCGTGAGTCCATCTAGAACTGCCCAAAGCTCGGCGTTATGGGCATTGCAATGTCTGATATTCCGGTGATATCTCAAGATCCAAGCACTAGAAGTGTACAAAAAAAATCGAATATCCGATTTTGCGCAAAAACTATCCGAAATTAGATTTGGTAAAAATCGGTTTTTTTAAACCAGATCGGATATTTAAAAACCGGATAGTATAACCGGTTTGGGAAAAAATTATACGATCTATATTTTTACCGGATTAAAAATCGGATTGAAAAAAACCGGATTAAAAATCGGTTTGAAAAAACCCGAATAAAATTAACTTATGATGTTTATTAGCATGATTTTTATAATTTATTGAAATGAATAATCAATCAATAAAATTAATTTTTTTTAAAAAAATTATAATATATTGCTATATGTAATTTATAAAACAAACCAAAATTAAGCAAAAAAGAAGAAGGGCAATCCTATCATTTTACTTTACTGAAATTAAATTCATCTGACATGTCAGAAATATTCCAGCGAACCAAACGCCACCTAGGTATTGGGTGAGTGGGTACCCAATTAAAAGATATTTTGTGACCCATGTTGACTTGGAAACCCGTGAAAAAGAGCGGGTCAAGTACTCAACCCACAAAACCGGGTATTCTTATTATTATTGGTTACAAATAAAACCACTACACTAGTAGTGGATTAATCGGGTATCTACAGCAGTAGCATCAGTGTTGAGAAGGGTGTGAACTCCCCTCGGAGGCTGTTGGTAGATAAAGAGTCCCAAAGTGTCATTAATATCGGTATGAGCAAGATGATCAGCAATGGCATTGGTTTCACGATTAGTACGAGAGATCTTAACGCTCCATTGTGCGATACGTCGAACA